AACTGGAAGGTTTGGTGTATGTACGTGCTACTGAAGTTGAAATTTCGAACTTAGAGTAGGAGAAAAAACTCATTTTGAGAAAACGACCTTTAAAGATTGCAGTGAGGCGCTAGCTAAACCCTCCTGTTCTTTGAATGACAGCTTGCGCATCGACGCACTCCGTGAAGGTATTTCATGTTCAGGGTCATTTTTTTTTTTATAACCTTGCTTCGTGCAAGTGACAATTGTTGTCGTCTTCTCTGTGAACGTTTTTTTCGCCGTTCTTTTGGCATTTTGAGATTTCAATTTCTAGCTGAAAGCTAACCAGGAAGTGTTTTAGCACACCACGTGACGCATCTGAACGAATCACGTTGTCAGAAATTGACACCAGCCAATGAGATTTCGTTTCTTGGTTTAAGACCCCTTTGTGCTTTCACGATTGGTTGCTGATACAAAGGAAATGACCATATTTGGATCCGATGAGATTGTGCAGGAGAGACGGAGCTTTCCAGCGATACCTCTGTTGACATGGTGCACACAGCGGTCGCGGTACTTTATGTTACGTTAGAATGCTAACTTTTGGTGAATTTAGGAGAAATCTACAGACGCAAATAGACATACTATAGTAAAATAAACACTTAAATGTGTATTTTGTACGTTTTCCTTCCAAAAGCCTGAAAGAAAACATGTTATGGAATCAAAATAGCACAAAATCTCAAAATTGACCAGTACTTGAAAAACGATGTTTTTGCCTGCCGTGTCTCGCCTTAACAGATAGTTTTTACTATTCAAACACACAAAAATATGTATTAAAATGTATGGCCGAACCTGTTGATGAACTGCTCCAGGCCCGATCGCCGCTCCTCAATGAAGACCTCGTCAAAAAGGCCCTCATCTGCGCGGAATGGCAACTGTCTCTTCAGGGCTTTGCCCGGAAGAGATGGTACTACAATCTGAAGGAGAACAAATAACAGGAAAGATCACATTCATGGAATCCAAAGTTCACACTCATGTGCTGAACAGTCAAAACTCAATACATTGGCATCAATACATTTGAGCTCCAGCAAGGCAATACACGTATTTTGATTAGCAGTGCAAAGGCATAAACTAATTCAACACATTTAATTAGGAGAACATCACAAAACCTACCTTGTCATTAAAACAAAAGACGAAACCTACCAGGGCTCAACGCTAACTTTTTTAAGTGGTTGCCAGGCTGGCAACCAGGCATCAGCTTTTGGTTGCCAAAACTGAAAATATGGTTGCCATTTTTAGTCACCTTATTTTAAATAATTAAGATACTACAGTTATACATCAACTTAATAATGAACATGTGACACAAAAGAATGTTCAAATGCTTTACAATAAGTAATTAACACAATTATTTGAAACTTAAGTGGTAGTAAACTTGTCCACCCTCAATTGCTGGTATACAAAATACCAGTAGTGCAGCTGTTGTCATGTTCTTCACAGATCCCTCACAAATGAATTGAGCAAGTCACTAGTTTCTTGGTCATCCGTTGTCTCCCTTTCAAATTTGGGTTTTCTTGACCTTTTCTTCAGCATTGAAGTCTTGGATTGACCAGACTAATACTTTTCTAATGTTAAATACATTAAAACCATTCATAGTTAAGAATTAGATATTAATTATTAATGCTGTAAATTATCTTTTATATGTCTAACTATATTTAACATGTGTTACCTTTTATAGAAGTGATTATATTTGTATGCCAATATTTTCCTCTGGTAAAGTTTCGTTTTGCACTTTTATTTTGGTAGTAATAAGATCGGGACTCTTATTTTGAAGGAACTTTTACCGGAAGTGAATGCACAACGACACTTTACACATTTCCTCTTTGCTTTTCGTTCGGGTTCACCTTGCGCTTTATCAGTTGAATCACTTTGAACATTCGTTTGAGAAGTTGACGGGTTGGCCGAAGTTTTTACCCCACAGTCAAACAACTTAATTTGCTTCGCCATTTTTTGTAAAACAAACACACGGCGCACCGCGCACGCGAGTAAACGTGCATCGCTTTCTGGCTCCATAATCACACCAATGCACGTGCAATTTAAGTATCAGACTGGTCACAACAATAATTAAATATCACTCTTATAACAAATTATTAACATTCATCTTGGGGTGCACATTTTTCTGTTTGCTGTTCTTATTTCTTTATGTTAAAAACTGGTTGACATTGATGGCAACCAAAGGCCAAGAAGTGGTTGACATTTTTTCCGAATGGTTGCCAATGGCAACCTGGCAACCGTTACTGTCGAGCCCTGCCTACAGTGTTATCCTACTTTTTACTTTAATCTATGAAGTAATTACATTTTCCAAGCTGTAACACCAACAGTACCACTTATCAGATCATTTTAACTATTAGTCTGCTGAAATGATTAGTCTGAAACACAACATGATATAATTACTCACTTACCTTACTGTCTCTTTCCAGCTCGTTCTTTAACCACTCAAAGTCACTGTATCTTCTTCTAACAGTGGAATCCTTCAGTTTGAAAATGGGGAGGTTTGTCTACACAGAGAAAAATAAATGAACAGCTCTAAATTAATTTTAAAAAATCATTTTTTCAAAAACATGATCTTACTGAATGCTGAATTCATTGTGGAGATGCCTTAAGGGGACACAAAAAAATCACTTGATATAACCCTATTTTGACTAAACTAATGGTATGAAAGTCAACACTTAGACTAGTATGCAGAGGCGTTTATGTTCTACCTCTACAGTAGCATCTACTGTTGTGTCGTTTATACTGATTTTTTCCATTACACTGTAGTATAATGAGAGCTCTGACTATTTATTATACTGTAATACAAATTGTATTTTACCGAATGCATGTCATTTTCATAACTTTCCCAGATCCCAGTGTGTGGTCTTCAAACAACAGTCCAAGACCCAAAGATGTTCAGCTGTTAATCATTATATAAAGAAAGAGAAAAAGAGCCACTAATCTATTTCATGTTAGATTGTATTCTAAATTGTATTTGCCCTGAAATGATTAGAATTCTAAATGCAAAGTATTGTGTTAATTTTATTTACAATAATATTAGAAAGCCTGCCAAGCAAACCCGTTTCCCAGAACGCTCACAAGTTTGGAGTTAGGTATAAAGGCAAATGTTGCATACAATAACCACCAATCTCTCCATGTTCCAGTGAGTAAAGATTAGGTGGCTTTTTTAGCATGACTCTCCTATGATTGATTCACTTCCTGTAGACAGGGAGTAAGTAACTAAACAATGCTTTCCAGTTAAACGAACAGATCTGGTTAGTTTGCGTTTTTCTATGCAGCGTTTTGAAACAGCACTATTTGGATGAGCAATTTAACAAAAACACATTAAACTAAGGAAACATCAGACTGCGTATTATGCCTGCATTAACCTACGAATCTTGTGATGAGAACATTCAAGTGGTGAAGAAAGTCACGTGTTTACATTATGATCTGCAAACTCTCCCAGGAGAAAACCCGCAAAATAAGGATTTGTAGTTAAGCCAGACCTAATAATAATAATAATAATAATGCATTTTATTTATATAGCGCTTTTCACAACTCAAAGACGCTTTAGTATGTTACAATTACGCAATTGTAATGTTGTCACCTGCTTCCTTAAAAAAAATGTTTTTTCTAAACGTATTTAAGTGTCAGCTATTATCTTTTACAAAGGCGCTCAACATTCCCATCTACTAGTAAAGGTTAAACTTCCCAATAGTATATAAAATCATTCAAATAAACCACCAAATGCAAAATTGAAGCGATAAACACATTAATGTATCAATAATTATAAAATAAAAATAATGTGTCGTATTATTACTCAAGGTGTTACTTAAGTCTTATTTAAGAGTTGTTTTCCCTTACATTTCCTATTATTAATCCAAATGTGCAAAGAAACAAAATATATGTAGTGGGGTGAAAGTACACGTTTGGCCTCTGAATTGTAGGGGGTAGAAGTATTAAGTGAATTCAAAAAGGCTCAGATAAAGTACCTACAAATTCTACTTCAGTACAGTACTCGCGTGAAGGTACTTTATGTATGTCTACCACAGCTTTTTGACAGTAGCATATGTAGCTGTTAGCTTCATGCTGTCTGCTGGGACTCACACTGTCGTAATAACCACATTGCGTTTCAGTACGTAACGTTTACTAGCCACACACAGTTGGTTAAAATACATAAACATATGACGTTACCAGTCAGTGTGCGGGCTTAAACATTGCTGCTTTAAATATGTACGCTGGAAGTCGTAGTTATGTTCAGGAAACTTCTAGATCCCAGCCCTGCTGACTACACAAAGTAGGCCACACAAAATCCCCGGTGCTTGAGTTTTACTGGAGCGCCATCTTGACCTACTCCAGGCTGCTACCGTCAACGTCACAGCCCGGTCCCTGCGGTTGACTCCAGCACAGCGGCTAAATACGCTAAGGCTAGCAACAACACAGTAATTACCAGTTAGCTTAGCAAATAAAAGCTAACGCTGCTAAAAGGGTGTTTTTTTTCTTCAGATTTTTTCAACACCTACCCGCATGCGAACTTCGTAATTTGTGTAACGGTTACGTCCAACTCCGACGACTTGTGGATCATAAACGTCTATTTCCAGAAAATTGCTGGGGGGGCCGTAAGCATCCGTCAGGTCCTGGGGCTTGGAATTCAACCGGCGAGTGTCGGCCACCGAAGGGTCTGTCATTTTGTCGGGTTGTAGTTTTTGGACGACAAACGGCGGATCAAACCAACTAAATGCTCAGCAAAATCTTAAATCTCCTATGAAGACATCAATTGATAACACGTTAGCTGATCGATTCAGCTAGGGAAGTAGCTGACTTGTGTCTCTGTCTTGTTGCGGGGGCCAGCCGCCCTGCGCCCTACCCTTGTTGAATCTGAAAAATGCGTTGACTCAGTTCCGATGAAGCGTTTGGGACACTGCACTCCCTCTAATGGACACAGAGATAACTGGACAGGCTCCGATTTCTCTAATCATTGCAGTTGGGAAATTAATGTCACAGTTCCTCAGACGTAAGGCATTTATATTTATTAATTATTAAATCAGGTTATGACAGAAAGGACTCAAATACAATCAGGTTACGTCAAACCACATTGAAAAAGTCCAATCAAAGAGCTATTAAGATTGGAAACATTTGAGGAATATAAGTATAACACACATGATAATACAAGACACATATTTTAAGGGGCTGTGAGGCCCCATTAGCTTGAAAAAGGGCATCCCCACCCTGATTTTGGGTATCATGTATGCACCAATCACCATGTGGAGTGGTGTAAAGTCAATGAGTAGATTTACTGTATTTGTACAATTATGAGGGACTAGTAGGCTACTTTACGTAAGCATTTCCTTTACTTGTTACTTTGTACTTCTACCCCACTACAATTCACAGGTAAAAAGTGTACTTCCACTCCATTACATGTATTTAATTATTTTAGTTACTTTGCAGATTTTGATTTGTGGAGTGACAATCAACACTCTTGTACTTAAGTACAATAATTGGTCCACGTATTCATTTTATTTTAAACCGACCTTTGCTCCAAATGTATTTTTATGGCTGTGTGTACCAAAAAGGGACATACATATCTAAATTAATTGAAGTTTGGATTACATGATGATTCAAGCAATTTAGGACTTATTATTACTCATATTTACGCAACACTATATGTACATACAAAAGGTAAATGTAAGAAAAATCTACACATATCAATACTAATCAAAGACATTTTGCTTAACTTGATTAAGGCGAACGATTAAAACTTAAGATATAATATCTGACAGAAGCAAAAATAAAGAAGCCAGTGATTACGCTTTTTTATCACAATGTAAGTGCCCTGATGACGATACTGATATACAATCTCATTCAGTAATTGTATTGGGGCCTTTCCTTCTGCTTCATTGAGGTTACATTCATCATACTTCGGGTCGTGACTAAACCTGTCTCTGCGGTCCTGCCTGGGTCTCGTCATGCTGCCTCCCTGAAGGCTCCCACAGGATTGTAGTTGACATCTTTGTAGATTCATCTTCTTATTAGAGACATGCATTTCCTAACATTTGGACTACCTATTGCACGTCTGTCCGTCCTGGGAGAGGGATCCCTCCTCTGTTGCTCTCCCTGAGGTTTCTCCCATTTTTTCCCTTTAAACTGTGGGGTTTTTCCGGAAGTTTTTCCTTGTACGATGTGAGGGTCTAAGGATAGAGGGTGTCGTTTTTTCTCATACTGATATTCTGAACAATCTGTGCTGTTGTATTAGCTGTAAAGTGTCTCTACTGTAGGCTATTTTTATTATATGTACAGCACATTGGCTTGACCAAAAATCGTTTATAAATGTGCTATATAAATAAAACTTGATTTGATTTGATTATGTCATTTTAAGCTGGGGTTTTGGATTGATGACATGATGAACTAATTTCTGTTAAATATTTGTTTAAGGAACAACTAATAGGTGTAAAGGACTTTTTTGTTTTTCAACTGACAGCCATGCTTAAATCAGTCGTTGTAAGGTATGAGAGGAAATGGAAGTTTAAATATCCTTTTTTATGATATGGGATAGGAACTTCAATCTGTTCTCCTGGGGCAGAATATACAGACCACTGATAGAGAAAGAGAAAACGTTGTAATACAGTAAACTTTGTCACTGAGTTACTTACTGCACTTACTGCAAAGTAATATTATCAATTAAGTGGTTCAGAGTTTTTAATTTTGATCAAATAAACTAAAAGAATGAGTGACTGAATTTGAAATATTTTTTTATATATGTAACTACTGCATCAGGTTTTTGGTATTCTTAAACATGTATACCTTTAATGGACCAGTTGATTATATGGGCTTCAAACTGATCTCTGTTCATCAGGGAAATCATGATTTCCATTTTGTGTCAGTAAAATACAATCAGAATTATAACGTTTTAAGAAACACAACCCTGACTGACATGCCACCTAAACAGAATCCTGCTTCTCCTCCTCAGGTGAGACTGTGGAGGTGGAAGAGGAACAGGAAGTAGGCAGGTCAGATTCGTTCACAGGGATGGAGACGGAGCAGTCGGTTTGGTCGGTGGTGCCGGAGCAGGTGGAGCAGTCAGAGCTCTCGCTGTCAGACTCAGGGACATGACAGTACTCACGGACAGGACAGGGACGCTCATTGTCCTTAAAACTCTCTTTCAGGCCCTTGGGGAACTGAAACCAATCCTTTAAAAAAACAAAAAAAAACATGTATGACTTTATTTTGCTGTTATCTATGTCTTGTACATTTTCTTCAAAAAAGGCAGTATTTTGAGTTATTTCCAGCTGAATGAAAAAAATGTGGTTTCAGTACAAATCATTTTTTGGAAGCATAGAGTTTTTGATGCTACTAACCTCGACATTAGGAGGTAAGGATGGCTTGGGGACCACAGGGATCAAGATGATTCTGATTCTGTATGGAAGGGAGGCACATGTTTATCAGATGATCATATCAACTACAGCTAGTCTACATCACACATACATTGAAAGTACATTACATTACCAAATGTGAATTTCATTGCTATCGTCACTTTCATCTACTGTTGCTTTAAAGCTAAAAAAATATCATTTTTTTCAAGATCATCAAGTTATCCTCCCATGTTGCCTTTTATCTGAGATATAGAGTGAAAGGGGGCGACAGAGAGGAGGACATTGACTGTAATGTTTGGCCTAACAGGGGCCGCCAGATCTTGTTGTCAACCGGCCCTATCTTCACACGTTTTAGGTAACAGGGTGAGTTGTTGATATACAAATGCTCAGCCCAAGTATTCCTTCAAACAATTCAAATTTTAAATACTCACATTAGTTACCAGTTCGTGGAAATATTGTTGATGATAATATAACAATGAATGAAGGAGGAAATATGTACCCATTGCTGAAACTATATGTAAAACACTATAAATAAGACATGACCCACCTTTCATGGTGTAGCAACATCATGACCAGTAGGATGAGGATGAAAGCACCCAACCCATACAGCACTGGAGTCCACACAGACATCGAGCTGTTCATGTGAGGAGTGTCTGTGAGTTTGAGAAAGACAGGGGAAGATTGTTTCATTATACTGCACCTTTACTGTGTTGTTCACATGCAGAGCAACAGCTGCAGATAGTAGAAATCTCCTTTGACGTTTAATCACGTGTGATATGGTGAAAATTACACATGATTAGGAGTTTGCTCTGTCAGTTTACCCTGTACTGATTTGAAGGGAATAAGTCAGGTTTGTATTGCCCTATTGCCTACACTGGCCATCTTATATTGTAAATGTGATGATTTTAATGGCCTACAATATCTATTACTGGCCCCTCAACTATAGCTCTGGCTTTGAAAACGAATTTCCCAACCTAGGAAAAACATGTTAAAAAGAAGGGTCTACAATCACTACAAATGATTGTAAATACAACATGTCAGTATTCATGAAAAACATGTTTATTCCTGTCATGACCAGTATTCAGAATATTCTAAATGTTTATATTTGATAAGAAATAAATCAAATCAAAGACAAATCAGGTGAAAGTTTGGGCTTTTTTTTTTTTTTTACGAAAAGGTTCTGTGACAGTTTATGGTTACCAGTAGCAGTGGTAACCAGTACAGGCTACTGTAAGTGACTGGAAATAGGTCTAGACATTTGCAGTTTACCTGTGCTGTTGTTTTTGGAGCCCCAGAACACAGGCTCACTCCAGTCGCTCCAGAAAGAGTTTTGACTGCCTCCACAGTGGTTCTCCAATTTGCTCCGCACCTGCAGCTCATACAAGGCACTGGAGGGCAAGTTGATGCAGTAATTCTGAATCCCAGCCCTCACTGGATACGTCTGTGGACACAAAGATGGAGTTGATAAAGGAGACGGGTGGGAAAAAACTAAAACGATTATGGAACAAAGGATCTTTCTTTAAAAATGCCTACCATCCACGCCTTGCTGTTGATCCTGTAGCGAACTTGACTCTCCACACAATGAGAAATCTGGGTCCAGTTGAGCCACAGGTTCGAGTCCAATCCAAACTGGACTGTCACTTTGTAGGGAGGATTGAACTTGACTGGAGACAAAACAGACCATTCAAAGATACAGTACAATATGGCAATACGGTAATGGGGCAAACATGAATAAAATATTTCTTTTTTTTCTTTTTATTAGTTTATGTCAAAAATGCTAGCATTTTCTTTAAAGAAAAAAGATACATTGAAGTTACAGTTGTGCTTCATTTTCAAATAATACTGCCTAAATAGTATCTTCAGAGGATGAGCCCCAGTAAAAATGCTTACCTCTCTCTTTGAGTTCATGTTTCTTTTCATAACTGTCGTTTCCATGTACCAGTTTGGTGGTAAAGTCGGAGAACCTATCACCTATTTGTAAATAAGGCTGTTTGCATCCAGTGTTTATGCTGTTCTCTGAAAGATAGCTGGGGCACTCTCCGGGTGTTTTGTAGGGGAACCTGTAAATAAATCACTATTTATACATTATCACATAAAAATCAATGGATGGTGCTGATGTTTTTGTCTATAACTGTACATTCAGAAACCAGTGCCTGCACAGCAGATCATAAATAAATTACAATGTCAACTTTGTATTGTTTACGTTAGTCCAATATTTCACTCTTCTTTAGAGATTGATACAGTGAGACAAAAAAAAAAAGGTGTTTGAGAGTGTCAGGGTCACTGTCAGTAATTACGAACCAGCTATAGAAGGTGTAATTGACCTCTGGAGTCCGGTCCTTATTCCAGGAACAATGAATATATTCCAGATGCATCACTAAACACTCCACATCTGTCAGAGAAACAAGAAGGTTGAGATAAGTAGAACATAGATTAATGAAGATAATAAAGCAAAAACACAACAGCACACACACACACACGCACCCACGCACGCACACACACAGGAAATGGTGACAGAGCGTAATAGGGACTTTACAAAGAATGCGCTAAGGAAGGCTTTTACCGTTAACCTGTAACGGCTGTTTGATTAAGATTTGGTTAAAGGAGTTGATTATTTTAAATTATTATTAACATCTAACGGTAATCATATTTCAAGTCAGTTCTGCTGTCCTTGCCTTTTAATCTGGATTCTATTTTTAGAAAAAGTTATATCAAAAGACTAATATTTTTGTTTATATGTATTATTAACAAATACTTTATATATAAAAATGAATGAACAAGAAAAGTAGCTTCACTTCATGATAGTTGGAGGGAAACTTAGATTAGATCTGATAAAAGCCCTGATACTCCTTCAAATCTGGCTAAAACTGTTATAATGTGTTACACAATTCAACTTAAAATGTAAAATATTAATTTGAAATGTTCTTACCAGGTGGTTCTTTGGCAAACACATGTCCCGTCAGACAGAGAAACAGAAGCAGTCTCGTCGCCATCATGTCAAACAGAAACAGGATGCTCTCAGGATCTGCGCAGATCTACTTCTCAGTCTCGATATGTGGCAAATGTTATTTCTCCGTCTGCTGTTTCTGATCTCTCTGTGTGGGTTTTGGTTCCTGTCACATGTTAGGTTACATATCAAGATATGCCTGTAATTAGGCCTTCTGCTGTATGGCTGTATTTTAATATACCCCACCATTTTTAAAACATGCTTTAACTCATAGAGTGAAACATACTGTAGGTTATCCTAAGATAATTTTTTTTTTTTTTTAAACAACACTTTTTGAGTCACAGGGTTTTTTCTCTGCTGTCATAATGCACATGCACATTTTTAAGCCATGAAACATCCATACTTTTTGGCAAAAATTAAGACACAGAAAAGCACACAGAAAAGCCAAATCCATGTCCTTCATTTGTGATGTTTGTGGTTGTCATGTGTCGGGTTTGAGTTTCTGATGAAATGTCGCTGTGGTTATCTTTTTAAGTATCTGAACAAGTGTGTCACATGTATGTTGTTTGTGAAAGAATCAAATCAAATCAAAAATGTTTAACATGTTTTATTTATTCAAGTCAAACAGGTAACATTCACAATTTATCTGGGTATTACCATGACTGACATTTAAAGAAGAATTAGAGCTTAAACATACTTTGCGCATGACAGGGTCATGTGTCATCAGATATGCGTCATTTTCGGTGAGTGCTATCCAAAAATGTAGAGTTCTGTGGTTTGGTTTCCTGTTAGAGGAAACTGTTTCAGAAATGTTTTTAAGACAGTATACCTACATCTGAGTGTGTGCACAACAAGCAGACACATTGTTACATCTTATTTATCTAGAACAAATACATATTTACCTATATCTTAATAACCTGTATTACATGCTATGCAATTCTGGGACTAATTATTTAAGAGGAAGGCTATCATCAGCTTATTAAAATTAACAGATAATTGTGAATTAGTTCATCCTGACAAAATGCATGAAACGCGCTTGTATATTTGGAGTGACAACATCTTGAATAGCAAACAAATTATGCGGAAATCTTACACAAAGTAATAACTGCATTGTGAATTATAGTTTGTGATATTCACCCAACTACAAGTAGCGCAATTATAATTATTATTTAATGTATGCAATCAAGAACACGAAATCCCAACATCTGTGACCAACTTTTAACTAGACTTGATATGTGACGTTTTAGCAACAATCAGCTAATCTCAACTCATTTCCTGAGAATTTAAGAGGTTTTTTTTTTTGCGTACATGTGGTAAAATACTGTGGTACTTTGCTCTTTTACCATTTTTGTATGTATAGGCTTTTATTTCTTATATTTGGTACGTTCTCTGTGTAGTCATTCATCAGTTGATAAAATTCAAGTTGTTAATGAAATACCGAAGATGGTGTAGTTGTATATGGTCCACAAATTAATTTCATGTTAAAAAAACTACTCTGTCGAGAGTTCAACTTGGGGTATAAGGCATAGAATGCTATTCATTTCTTATTATAGCTGTGTGTCCCAAAGAGGGAGATACCTATCTAAGTTAAATGGATTTTTGATTACATGATGATCCAAGCAATTATGGGTCTTGATATTCATGCAAACATTACATGTACGTACAAAAGGTTATATATGAGAAAAATCCACACAAATATCAATACACATCAAAACCATGTTGCTACACTTGATTACTGTAAGTGCCTTGACGCTGATGCTGATTTACAATCTCAACAGTCATTTTATTGGGGCCTTTCCTTCTGCTTCATTGAGGTTACATTTATTATCATCTTAGTGAAGCTGTTTTTTTGGATTGATGACAAGACATGATGAAACTCAGTTGTGTAAAATATTTGTCTCTCAAAAATAAATACTATGTTTAAGGAACAACTAATAGGTGCAAAGGACTTTTTTGTTTTTCAACTGACAGCCATGCTTTAATCAGTGGTTGTAAGGTATGAGAGGAAGTGGAAGTTTAAATGTCCTTTTTTCAGATTTGGAATAGGAACTTCAATCTGTTCTCCTGGGGCAGAACATACAGACCACTGATAGAGAAAGATACAACTTTGCAGTACAGTAAACATTGGCACCTCAAAGTGGTACTTTGCCAGAAGCATATTTTAAAGAGAAACTTACTGTATGTCACTAATAAAAAGTAACATATCAATGAAGTGATTCAGAGTTTGTAATTTGTTGTAAACAAACCAAAAAGAGATTTAGGGTTAGGGTTAGGGTTTTCCAAGAGCTACAAAGTGTATCGAATACATATTTGCTCTTCTGACAGGTTCTTTTCTACAAAATTTGCTGAAAACATTGGTTATCCTTCTGCCTTGCAGTTTCAAGCATGTCAAGCGTGTCACATGTATGTTGTTTGTGACAGTCAAATCTAAATGTGCACATTTTTTTATTCATTCAAGTAAAACAGGTAACATTCACAATTCATCCTTGACTGACTTTTAAAGAAGAATTAGAGCTAAAACATACTTTGTGCATGACCCACGTGTCATCATATATGTATGTGTCACTTTCGGTGAGTGCGATCCCAAAATGATGAGTTTTGTGTGTTCGGTTGCCTGTCAGAGGAAACTGTTACAGAAATGTTTTTTGAGAAAGTATACCTACATCTGAGTGTGTGCACAATAAACAGACACATTATTTTATCTTATTAAAATAAATACATACTGATCTTAATAACCTGTATTACATGCACTCCATTTAATAACTGTTTAGTGGTGCAGGAAGACTATTGGTTTGTTGATTGGACTTAACCTATCCATTGATATATATTGAGTGTTATAGGTTTAACCATCAAATTAGTAGACATGCTTTTATATATATATATATAATTTATATTAATTGATAAGCATTTATATGCTTATCAATTAACAAATGAACAACAAAATATGACAACATCTTAAATAGCAAAATAATTGTGCTGAAATGTTACAAAGCAATAATTGCTGTCTGAACTGTAGTTTGTGCAGATTCAGAAAACTTGACCAGTGATATTTAACCAACTAGAAGTACATGTAGTGCCATGTAGCAACAATTAATCAACCCCAACATCTGTGACCAACTTCTGACTAGATTTGATATGTGACATCTTAGCAACAATCAGCTCATCACAGTTCATTTCCTGAGAATTGAAGAGGGTTTTGAAGAGGGTGTATGCGTTGTCAAATTCTATGGTATTTTAGCTCTGTTTCTGTTCTCCTTTTGAAAAGAACATTTAAAGCCATTTTTGCTTATCTTTGAATGGAACTCTCTGTGTTTTCATTCACAAGTTGTTAAAAACCAAATTGTTAATGAAGCACTAAAAAAGTATTCAGATATATAGACATGCTTTTGAAACACTTTTAGAAAAACAACTAACAATGCAACAATTGACATTGAATCAAAGGTCATTAAAAAGCATCACGGTGCTTGTATGATGGTGCATATACTTCTGTGGCAGAGTCAAGACTATCACAGCTGTATCCAAATTATTAAACCAGAATTCAAGTTTGAAATCTTGTTGTGTCTTCCTGGTCGAATGTACTTATTGTAAGTCGCTTTGGATAAAAGCGTCAGCTAAATGCAATGTAATAATGTAAAAAAAAAAAAAAAAATCAATACAAAGTTTAAAATCAATACAAAGACCAGCATGGTAAGCAAGTATTAGAGAAGCATCAACAAATGTGGATGACAAAATGCTTGACTTCAGTTGGTGATGATGATTAACACATTGTATTACTGCACCCTTTAGATGTTAACGTAAACAAAGATATAAGACACCAGATAATTGTGTCACTATCATGGTACTGAATTTTCTTACAGGCTATGATGGTTATACTATTAACATTTGTACTGTTTGTCAATGTGTTTGTTAGGTTCGTTGTAATGCATTTCATATTACAATGTTGGTGCGTGTCATGATAACCATATTATCTGCATGATGACAACAAAAGTCGACCTTCAAACACCATGCGAGGTCGCTGTTATTCTCAGGACTGATTCTGTTCATAAACGGACTTTTATTTTGAAGGACCGGAAGTCCTAGTGTTTTGGTAAAGGTTGCGGAAGAAGCTGTCATTTCGTGGTTATTATCCTGATATTATCTCGTCCAAGCAGTATTTCCCATTAAACTGATACTAATTCAACGACAGATGTGACCGTTTTCACAGAGCTCAAGAATGGGATTTACACCGAGACTCTTTCTTGGTGTTAAACCGTCGAAAACGCTTGTGTTTCTGCCTTTTCTATTGACATTATTGCTCGTTGGGAGCCAAGGCGATAATAATGCGATGGATAACGTCTCAACCGAGAGGCTGGCTGAGGAAAGCCACCGACAAGACAGTGCCAATCTACTTATATTCATAATGCTCTTAACACTCACCATCTTAACGATATGGCTGTTCAAACACCGGCGATTCAGGTTCCTGCACGAAACAGGACTGGCCATGATCTATGGTAAGAGAACTGACGATGGTGCTTTAACAGTGATGTAAAGTAACTGAGTAGGCTGCATTTACTCAACTCAAGTTACTCAACAACCTAACTACACATTTGAGATACTTGTACTTTTCAACTTTATGTAGGCCTACTTTGTGCTTTTACTCCGCTATAATTCTGAGGTAAATCGTGTGCTTTTACTCCACTACATTTATTTAGTAGCTTTAGTTAAATAATGTGAAATATAATCAACCCCAATAAAAGACTTCAGTAACACCTGGAGTAAATTCACAAGTAACCCTGCAGTATACAAATGAATTACAACTAGCTGCACCGTTACCAACTTGATTAATTCATTAATGTATCAATATTTATAATAAAAACATATACACTATTCTGAAATGGTCCAATCTGCATAATGAGTGCGTCATTCTAGAATTGGAGGACATTTCATGTCCCCCATATAAAAAATCTAATAATCCATGCCCAAAATGCTAAAACATGCACTTGTTGTGTTAAACATACTTGTATTGAGACAAAATGTATATAAAGTTGTAGAAAAAGTGGTTTCCAAATATTATTTAAATGATCAAATAGCTCTCGAACATTCCCTAAAATGGCATTTTTCTCTTGTCCCCGCTTCTTGGTGA